TTTTACCTGGTCCTCTCGCCCCTCAGACTTTCCTCCTGACTTCGAGCTCCCTCCCCATACTCCGGAATCGCCGCCGAGCATTTCCGCAAACAGATATTTCGCCCTCTCACCGTACACCGGCGACCTCGATCGCATCGTCACACCCAAGATTGCCAACCTTGCCCGCCATCGCCACGAGGATCTGGACACATGGTACCTTGAGAGTTGCTGCGGACAACACATGGTGGGATCGCCAAGGTTCATTAGCAACTCCCGACGCATGCGACGACCCTGCGAAATCACGCCCGCCAACAACGGAAAAATGAAGGCATTTGAGATTGGCGAAATCTATCTTGAGGCCAATGACACGAAGTTCACCATTCACATCGGGGACGTTCTCGTCGCCCCCGATCTACAATACAACCTACTCTCATTAGCTCAGCTCATGCGGTGCGGAATCGACATTCGCAGCAATCGGAAGGAAAAGACCTTCGAGCTCTTCCACAACGAAACTTACATCGTAAAGTCGATCGATAACGATGGAGTCTTCGTGTTGCAATTTTCGTCTCAGGGCACCACCGGCGACTCCCACCGCACATTGCTGCTGAAGACCACTCCCACGCAGCCGCCGACATGGTCACATCCGGACGAGATGGACCTCGAACGACCAGCCTCCGACGGCCTTCTATGCTTGCGCACTGTCACGACTGCCTCGACCTCCAACCCTGCAGAAACCGGACCAGCCACAATGGAAGAAGAGAGCGGCACGTCAGGACCTGCAACTCAATCAACCGAGGAAAACAAGACAGCGGAAACCCACTGGCCGGGCTGGAACACTTCCGAGCCCACGCTCGGACCCTGGGGAGAAGTACCAACTCCAGAAGAAGCAGCCGCAAGTTGGAGGGGAGCAGCTCCAGCAGAGGAAGTTGGCGCCAGAGGAGGATGGGGCACCACGACCGAAGCAGAACGAAGACACGCGGAAGCATCTGGCTTTCCTCCTGCGGAAGTTGCCGTCATCGACCCATACCGGGCAACTCGTGGCACCTGCTGGGGAGGTCCACCTCTCCCAGATCAATACGGCCCTGGCACACCCGAGCAAAGGGAAGAGGAGTCAGAAGAAGAAGAAGAAGCCTACGGATTTATGGGAGAACCAACAGAGTTACCCAAACCTACCGAAGAGCCGGAGCCACCCGTCCAAGGACCACAAGAAATTGAGGTCATCGGCGCTGAATACAGTTACTTCAGAATCCCCATGAAAGGACTCCCAGTTCTGGAATGGCCCAACCAATGCCTGCTCGTTACCGGAGACGAAGTCGAAGCCGGCGACACCGACGACATCATCGGTATCCCCCGCGTGCTTCTGGAGCGAAAGGCAATTCGAGCGCTCGCCGCCGGCATCGACTCCGCCACGGACGAAGGACCTGAAGGGGAGGCAAACGACGAAGCAGCGCGACAAAAGTTTTATCAAAGGACAGTAGGTTACCGTGCGGACCTAGAAATATGGCACCAACGGCTCGGCCATCCCTCCCACGCCACGCTTAAAAACTCGCTCAAAGCCGGAGTCTTCGACAACGACACGCTTCTTCTCTCACGAAACAGTTCGCTTACCGCGGACTCACCTAACCCACCGTGCACCGTCTGCCCAACCGCATCGCTCACTCACCAGCCGTTCCCCGACTTGCCCCCAGGGTATGAACGCTACAAGCCGCTAGACAAAGTTTACACCGACTTTACGGTGCTCAGCCAGGAGGGGCTCGACGGGGAGCAGTACACACTCACCTTCATCGACGCATCCACTCGCTACGTCTGGGCCGTCAACACCGACAGCAGGTCTCTGGCCTTCGAGTGCTTCATTGCGTGGATGAAGCGGGCTGAGCGACAGTCCGGCCTCAAACTCAAAACCTGGCAGACGGACGGAGCTCTGGAGTTCTTTTCAGATGAGTTCAAGGAGCTCCTCAAGCAGAAGGGGATTGAGCACCTGGTGTCTCTGCCCTACGCCCACCAACAGCAAGGAGTAGCAGAACGGACAAACATGAGCCTCGCCACGCGGATGAGGGCCCTGATGAAGCAGTTGGCCATCCCAACAAAATATTGGCCGTTTGCGATGAATCACGCTGTTCGGCTGCACAACTTGCTATCCTCGCGAAGCCTTGAGAACAACAACTCCCCATACCGGGCATGGACGGGCAGAAAAGCTGACACACGACTACTTCGGGTGTTTGGCTGCGTGGTACAGTACAGACCCCACACTGCGAAAACCGGAAAATTTGCTGACCGAGCACGATGGGGCATCCACCTCGGGATCGAGAAGGAATTCAAGGCGTGGATCGTTCTGGACTACACGACACACGAGTTGACAAAATCACGTGACTGCATCTTCTACGAGAAGTTGACTCTGCCCCTCTTTAAGGAGCACCAGGAAGCTGACAAACTTCCTGAGAGGCTCTTCGAGGGCCACCGCAGCTTCGCCACGTCACACGACGAAGATGACCTGGCCGAGGATGCAGATGCATCTGATATCACCCCAATGGACTCAGCACCCAGCATCCCCCTTACAAGCCAACTCGGGACTTCAATATTCGTACCTCTACACCAACCCGATCCCAACGACACACCTCGCGCGGCTCATGACTACAACAGTGAGGCGCGCCGATCACCTGATGACGAGCTCCCACAACCCAACATGTCGCAGAATACCCTCCGCCTCAGCAACGACAGCGATGACGACGTGGTCGAAGTTACCAGCCTCCACGACTATGACCGAATTCACTACGAAAAGAGTGACGAAACCGGTCTCCGCGTTCTCGGCCTCGCCGTCGCTGTTCGCCACACTTCGCCCAAGGAACCGACCACCGTCCACCAAGCCCTTTCTGGCCCCGATAGTGTAAAATGGAAAGCAGCCATGGCTGCCGAAATCGCATCACTGAAGAATCGTGGCACTTGGAAGTTGGTCCCTCGGTCATCGGCAAAGGGGAGAAAAATTCTCAGCGGCAAATGGGTCTTTCGTATCAAAACTCTCGCAGACGGCTCGGTCGACAAGTACAAGGCGCGTTGGGTAGTGCGGGAATTTGAGCAAACACACCTGGTGGACTTCACCCTCACCTACGCTCCAGTCGGCCGCCACACCTCGGTACGCATCCTCATCTGCATCGCGGCCGTCAAACAACGACCGCTCCGGCAAATCGACGTCGGAAGCGCTTTTCTCTACGCTCCCGTCGATGCCATCATCTTTGTCGAGCAGCCGCACGCATTCGAAGAAAATGATGGCGCCGTGTGCCTCCTCCAAAAATCCCTCTACGGAATCAAGCAGGCGCCTCGTCTATGGCAACAATACCTCCATTCCGTCCTCCTTGAGCTCGGCTTCACTCAACTGGCACACGACCTCGGAATATACAGACGAGAATCGCGCGGGAAGTTCATACTACTCGTCGCCTACGTCGACGACCTTCTCTACACCAGCGACGACACGGAGCTGCTAGACCGGTTTGAGGCCGACATCAAAGAGAAACTGGAGGTGACAATCAATCACAATGTCACCCAGTTTCTCGGCCTCAATGTGACTCAGTCCGCCTCCTCCATTCACCTCTCCGCCGCCAAGTACGCCGAAACACTCGCGAAGCGCTTCTCTATCGCACCAATCAACCTCACTACCCCCTATCGCACTCCTCCTCCTAACCACAAGCCAGACACCACACCGCTCTCTCCCGACAACCATCGTCTCTATCAGCAGCAGCTGGGATGTCTACTGTTCGCCGCCGTCACGTGCCGGCCCGATCTCTCCTACGTCACGAGCCAGCTCGCACAGTACCTGAAGCGACCTGAAGGGGAGAATCTACTGGATCTACGCCAAGCACTACAGTACTTCATCTCCACTCCCGACGTCGGTCTCACTTAAGAAGCCAACCTCACCGCTACGTTGCAGCTCCATGGCTACGTAGATGCCGACCACGCTGGAGATGTTGACAACAGACGCTCCCGCACAGGATTCATTTTTCAACTCCAACCAGCGGGACTCATCTCCTGGAACTCTCAGAAGCAGGAACTCATCGCTCTTTCGTCAGCAGAAGCAGAATTCATCGCAGCTAGCGCAACTGTTCGCGAAGGACTGTACCTGATAGAGCTCCTACAAGAGGCAAAAATGACGATGAACGGATACTTCTCATTACTCTGCGACAACCAAAGCGCGATAAAGATCGCGAACAAGCCCGGCTTCGTCAAACGCACCAAGCACATCGCCCTTCGCTACTTCTTCGTGAAGGATGAAATCGACAAAGGGAAAGTCAAGCTGACGTACTGCCCGACCGGTGACATGGAAGCTGCCTTCTTAACGAAGAAGCTACCACGTCAGCAGTACCAACGCTGCGCCGACCTCTGCGGGATCACCAAGAAATCCCACGTGGTCCACCTTCAAGAATGAAGGGGAGTGTTGGAATAACCGAAAGGTTATATAAAGCATTCCCGAAGCTGTTCCACTGTACCAGTACCGAAATAGCTCATATAGAGCATTCGGAATGTCGAGAGTCACCCGAAGGTTAACCGTCTGAGAAAGTCAATGGTCGTGACCCTTGACAATCCAGTAACCGTGCGACAGTTAATTCACTGCAACATGGTAGCTGTCGAGGATAGCAATAGTCACGGTTACTGTAGCTATGCAATACACTTAATAAGGGAATGTACCCCTAAGAGTACATGGCTAGCTAGATTTCTATTTAATCCCTTGTACTCCTATCTTTCAATCATCTTGTTCCATCTCAATTATTATTCAACAAGGTCATTACAGAGACTTCATTGTCTCCTCTCAGACTTAACAGATTCTATCCTATCCACTGATCCTTGGCTACATCAGCACAGAAGAGCTTGTATGTAAGGTGCCGCAAATACGGTACTTACAAGCAACCAAGACAAACACAAGCACAAACACAAGTAGTAAAATAATATATACCACTTATCATGTGGTTACAAAAAAAGGCACTAGGAACTAGACATGGTTAGACAGCAGCAGCGGGGGCGGGTGCACTTTGCTAGGAGGCGAGTGCACTAATGGCCTCCCCCGCCTCACAGATGCGTGCTACTGCCTTCCTGCCCGACACCGTGACGCCCTCCATGCTGTCTAGGTAGTCCTGGACAAGGGAGATGGAGGGTGGGTGGTGGAGGGAAGGTGGAGGGAGTGGATGTGAGGGGGATGTGGTGGATGGCATCATGGCGGGCACAGGACGGGCCAAGCGACCAAGTGAGCGGTCTACCTGCTTGGGTCGCTATAAGGGGGTGGCAGGCGCACCTGCTAGGGTCGCTATAGGGGGGTGGCAGGTGTACCTGCTTGGGTCGCTACAGAAGGGCGGTAGGTGTACCTGTTTGGTGTAGGAGTCGGCGAGGAAGAAGTTGGGGACGGGCGACTTCTGGTCGGGGTGGAACTGGTCGAGGTCGGGCGCCTCGCGGTACAACGACTGGTTGATCTTCACCACCGAGTGCCAAAGCAGTGTCAGGCCCCTACGCTGATGGGAACAGATCCATCACCTGGCCGGAACATGGGGGGGGCAGAGAGAGCAAGGGCCGGGCGAGGGAGAAGTGAAGGGTGGTTTTCAAAAAGGGCGAGTGGAAAGGGACAGGCAGCAGGATCACATGGGAATTGAGGCATCTAGACGGAGCCATGTGATTCGAGGCATGTGGTGTGGACTGAGAAATACAGCTAAAGACACTAGCAGGAGTCGAATCCATGGCGCAGGCTGTATGAGTGGCCTGTTCATTCATCTTGGCAACGATGGCCTCATTGGTTATTGGCATGTAGGGGTCCGCTGGTGTGATCACCACCCAATAATGCCGCAATACAATTTGAGCCAAGCAGGACGGGGTGAACAGACGATAGGTTAAATTGGCGAGTATGTGGCTGCATGAAGGGAAAATGGATTGATGGGAGCAGTGAGGACCAGGGACGGCATGTGAGGGGGGGTGGAGGGGAGAAGGGACAGTGCCTGAATGAATGACCCATGGTGGCCAGCGCAACCAGCAAGCATGAGTGGCGGGGATGGGTACGGCAGGAGTGAACAGGGGAAGGGTAGGGGGGGAGGGGCACTGACTGCATGAGCGAGCCCTGTCCCTCCTTGTAGTAGTCGTTAGGGCTTGTGAGCGCCAGGTCAGCAAAGCATGAGAAGTCCGCATCGGGCGAGTAGAGCAGATTGTCCAGCCCTGCCGCCAGTGCCAGCTGCCTGTAGGGGGGAAGAAGACAGTAGCAGAGGGCGGCAAGGGAGGGGAATATGCGGCTCTTGGCATGACCACAAGCAGGCCACTCATACATGCACAGGAAGCACTGGGGGAGGTAAATGCAGGAGGGAGGGCAGAGGGAGGGCGCACCTGGAGAGCTCGATGTCGTTCATCTCAGTGACCCAGCCATCGTAGCGCAGCTGCACGGTGATGACGGGCACGCCCACCAGCTCATAGATGTCCCTGAACTGCCCCCACCGCTCCCTCCACTCCTTCGGCACCAGCCTCTTCGCCCCCGGCACGTCCAGAGCTGGTGGGGGGAAGTTGGGGAGGAAATGAGGAGCACGAGAGGGACAGGAGAAGGCTGATGCAAAGTACAGAGGCGGGCCAAGAGGGTGCTATGTGTGCTTTGTTGAATGGCAGACACGCATGCATCCCTGCCTGTGTCTTCCACCCGCAAAACCCAGCCCACAAGTTTTCCATTCCAGTGCACCAACCTCCCTCCCAGGCACGCACCAGCAACATATGCATCAGCTGTCACAATGTGCCCCTTGCCTCCCGTCTGCCAGGACACACAAAGCAGGCCGCAGAGGATAGGAAAGACAATGGTTTGCAGCACATAGGATGATAGCCGCTGTGAATAGCTCAGGTGGTAGGCAAGGAATGAAAAGCAACTCCACCATGCCACTGCACTGCATACTCCTTCCCATCCTCCCCCCCCCCTTTCCCCCCCCCCTTTTTCCCACATGCATCTCCCACTTCTCCCGCCTTCTCCTCTCACCTGCTTCATGTGCAGGCCAGTGACAACGGTGGAGCCATCAGCGGCGGTGGAGTAGAGCACCTCCTGGCACAGTTGCCGCACGTGGAACCTGCTCATGCACGGGGAGGGCCAGGTGGACGGCACGGCAGTGCAGGTGAGGTGAGCTCAACCCAGGCACACTGTTCATCATGTTCCCCTGCCAACCCCGCCCACCTTCCCCACCCCATCCTCCCCACTGCCCCAACGCTCGCCCTTCACAATCCATCTTCCACTCCAAGCTGTCAATATGAAGACAACATAGGTGCCACAGTTCGACAATGGGTGGAAGGAAATAGTGAAGGTGCTTGCTTGCTTAGATTTCATCCAAACACCTCCACAGTTAATAGAATTTCTACAGCGTTTCTTCATTTTAGTCCGTTGCTCTTCCGCATTCCCCACACGTGCCTGCCTCTGCAGTCGATTAAGTCGGTGCCATGACGCACCTGCCACCACGGTCAGTGATGCATTCGGTTCACCTGCCGCCACGGTCGGTAACGCAGTTGCCTCACCTGCCTCTGCAGTCAGTGATGTATTTGGCGATCGGGTCGGCGAGGAAGCGGTCGTGCGAGCCATAGAGCATGCGCAGCATGGATACCTCGGTCTTGGTGGCGAAGAAGGCGAAGATGGTGAGCATGCAGCGCACACTGATGTTGTCACAGTCTATGAACCCCAGCGCGTATGCCACCGGGTCCCACATGCGCTTGATGCTCTCCCTTGTGCCGCCGTGCGACGTGAACCACTCGCTGAAGCTCACCTGCTCGCCCACACAGCACCACAGCGGGGTAGCACAGAGGGGCAGGCAGCACAGGCAGATGATGTTTGTGCATGACAGAAATAAAAGCTATTGAAACGGTGGACAGGAATGCAAATAAGCATGGCTTTCTCAGCAAGGTGAGAGAGCAAGGACTTGCATAGCCGAGGTGAGGGGGCGAGTGGTGGGGTGGGGTATGGAGATGGAGGGAGGGGGGAGGAGGGGGGTGACGCAGGGGAGGAGGGGGGTGACGTGGGAGGGGGAGGGGAGGGGCGGGGCGTGCCTTGTCGAGGTCGCGGATGACCTGGAAGGCGCCCTCGGGGTCCACCAGCGCTCGCACCACGGGGCTTGTTGCCAGTGCCAGCGCGTTGAACGCCTTGTCCACCGGCTGCACGCATGCATGCATGGGAGAGGCGCAGCGGGGAGGCACGGGTGATGATGTGATGTGATGTGACGAGGAATGTATCACCAACGCCAAAGCACTGCCTATCATTCAGCGTGTCGTGCAGAGAGAAAGGCGTGGTAATAGAGAGGCACGAGAGCGAGGCTGGCCGAGAGCTGGTTGGTGGTGAAGAATGCCTTGAGCCCATGGAAGGGCGCGTACGTGATGAACCGGAAGTCCAGCTCTGTGCACGCCATGCCATGCCATGCCACACGTCCACGTGGGGTCGGGGAGGGGGAGGGAACGATGAGGGGAATATAGAACAGGAAATCAAGAAGGAATTAACCAGCTATATGGAGCGAGGAGAGAGGAGGTGCGCGTCATGTGTTGAGCAGTTTCTCCATCAAACCAAACCATGAGACTGCGCGAGGAAACGAGCGTGGGTGATGGCACGGGTGGGCGGCGGGCACGAAGCATCTCACCGCCAGTGACGCCGCCCTTGTTGATGAAGACGTGTGTGTGCTCCTTGCGCAGCAGGCTGTCCACCACGCCGCTTTGCACATGCGATGCGAGCCACCAGGGGAGGGGCATACCTGTAAATGATTTTCGTTCGTTTGCCAATGGTGAGAAGTGTTTGGGCTACGAAGCGGAAGAGGGTGGGCTTGCCTTGGCCATGAGGCAAGACGGGTTGCGCTTGCCTTGGCCATGAGGCAGAAGAGGGTGCGCTTGCATTGGCCATGAGGCGGAAGAGGTTGTTGTAGCAGTCGAAGAAGACGTGCAGCCCCATCTCGATGTGGTTGCCGTCCTTGTCTTGAAAGCTCGCCACCTTGCCGCCTAATAACGGCCGCGCCTCGTAGATGTCCACCTGCTCGCATCCGCGCTCGCTCCCCGCACACGCACCGCGCACACCCCCTACGAACGCACATCCCCCATGCACATGCATCCCCCCCCGCACATCCGGCGCATGCCCGAGCATGGCATGTGAAGTTCTATTAGCGTGAGAAACTGATTCGAGCAACATGAATTAGAAAGATCGCCCCGCTACAGAGATACTTACACCACAAGCACTTAACATCCGCCGTTCCGCGTATTCGGTTTAGCCTTTGCCCGACATTCCAGCTCACCTCGTGGCCCTAGTCCAACAGCTCACCTTGTGGCCCTGGTCGAGCAGTTCGGCGGCGGTAGACATGCCGGCCAGCCCCGGGCCCAGGATTGCCACCTTGAGCTTCAGCCCCGTATACTTCTCGGGCTCCGGCGGGAACAGCCCCTTGGGCGCTGCCGTGCACAGAGGGGAAAGACGAGAGACAAAGGGAAGTAACATGACTAAACAAAACGCAGCGAGACACTAGGATTCTGGGCGGCGTGCGGAACAACAATGCCGCAAAGTCATCACAAATTCGACTAGAGGCGTATCCACTGGCCACTAGTTTTATCATCGCGACTCCTATTTTAAAGGACCTGCTTGTAGCGTACTCGTTGTGCTTATACCGCACGTTCGGCTCATACTGTACCAGCTCAATTCGGATCGCATTCGCGCGGCTCGTACTCTACCTGCGCGGCTCACACCTACGCGGGTCTCATCCTACCGGCGCGGCTCATGTCGGAGACGTAGTCCATGATGGCGGACGCCCTCGTGACGAGCGCTGTCGTCGTCCTGCCACTCCGCGCATTGAGCCGCACCACCACTATCACATGCCACGAGAAAAAGACGGGATCTGAGTGAGGGGAGCTAGATAGCGGCGAGTTGAGACAGCATGATAAGTGGAAGCACAATGGGAGCTAAACGAAGCGATCGGTGGTCTACCTGCCGTGCAGCCAATAGGCGTCGCCCTCCTAGAAGAGGCTGTGGCAGCTAGTCTTCAGGGCGGCGGGTTGAGCGAGGGCAACCATGGCAGACGAGGTCGTGTTGGAGATGTAAATGAAAGGCTGCTGTTTTGCGAAGAACTGTGTCAGAACATTATAGCTTATACATTTGTGTAGGCCGTAGTGGGGTAGCCCATAAGGGGTACAACCCAATTAGGGTTAGTACTTGTACCCAACTGTTTGATAGTTCAATCATTCTCGTTTCTTCTCATGGTATGGAGCAGGTTCCCTAGTGGGAACGCTACCTAGGGCCCACCACGATACTTTTTTTTTTCCCCTGCCCGGAGCGCGCTTCACTCTAGACCGAGTCGCGCTCTGTGTGCCCTCCCTACCTTCGAGCCGCCCTTAGTGGCCCCTCTCACGGCCCCGTTGACCGCCATTACGGCCCCTCGCGCCACCTCTTACAGCCCCTCGCGCCGCCCTCTACAGCCCCTCGCGTCACCCCTTACGGCCCCTTAAGGCCCCACGCGATGCTGCTTGCTCGTCTTGCTATGCGTCACCACTAACCGACCACTAAGCGTGCACACTTTAGCCAGTACAAGAGTGCTCAGACCTTGTACGATGCTGTAGTTGCACGCTACTCCTCCCCTGCCACTGCTGCACTGAGCCGCCTCATGCTACCGTACCTCTTCCCTAACCTTGCTGCCTTTCCCACAGTCGCTGACCTCATTATGCACCTCCGCACTAGTGACACTCGCTACCAGCGCTGCGCTTCCTGCTGAGTTCTGCGCCAAACCCCCCCCCCCCCCCCCCCATGTACATCACTCTCTACTACATAGTCACCCGGCTCCCTGACTCCCTTCGCGTAGTCACGGACCACTTCCTCCCAGTTTGCCCCACCACTCTCACCGTTGACCTCCTCGAGAAGGCCCTCCTAGCAGCAGAGAAGAGCATAGTCGCTGTAGGAGCCTCTCGTGGTGACCCTCGCACCCCCGTCTTTGAGGGGTGTTCCCCCTCCCCCCTTTTGCCCTCTGTTGCCTCTGCTGCTGCGGCCGACCTCGTTGGCTTCGAGTCGGTCGGCGCTGTTAGATACTGAGGACGGAGTCTATGAAGATTAGTAGCCAAAATATCTCAACATCGTTGGGCCTAGTTTCTGAATAGAAAAGTCGAGTTCACAAGAAACGCCGTCAACAAAACGTTCACAGTCAAAACTTCATCAAACTCGAATATGTTGTATCTCTACTCCGTGGCTACAATTCCCAAGTTGAATCATGCGAAAAGGTGAAGTATTTCTTGAGCTATCAATTTCGGCGCACTAGGGGGTATGCTGCCATAGAATCTTAACTCAATCACTAAGTTCACACAAGTTCACACAAGAGAATTGGAGTAGCACTAAACCAGGTGGAAGGGATGAGGAGGACGAGAGGGAAGGTCCCAAGAGAGTCCCCAACCAAGGAAACCCCATGCCATACAATTCCCTTCCCCATAGGCAACCCAACTTTGACCTTTGTCACTATCCCAACCTCCACAATCCACCTCAACCCAACTTGGCCACACTTGCCAGCCTGGTTTGGTTTCTCCCAACCATTTGGCAGCAACTACAGTAGAAAAGACGAATTTCCCAACCCTCAAAAGTCTGTACCCCATATTGAGTCAACCCCACAACTTCCCATAGTCACCACAACCAAATATCAAAAGCATACGAACTCCAACGTTCGTAACTTTCTTGTTCGTGCTCCGATTGAAGCGATACTTGGTTCCTCGGAAAGCTCTTGAGCAGAGGAGTCACTTCAGATATCTGCTCAAGCCAAATAACATTCACACACATACACACACTTAGAAAAACCAAACCGCACAAAACACAAATTCTTGCACACACTCACAACACGCATGCAACGCACGAACATATGATGGGAGGCAGACAGACGTGAATGCGAATGGTAGCATCACTCAACAGGTGCTGCGTCTGCCCCTAGCGGGAGACGTCGCCCCGGCAAGGGCAAGGGGGGCAAGGGCGCTGGAGGGGCTGGCGGGGGCGGTGAAGGTGGCGGTGGAGGCAGTGGAGGGGGTGGGGGTGGGGGTGGGAGTGGTCGCGGGGGTGGAGGTGTAGGTGGCGGCAGTGGAGGCGGAGGCGGAGGCGGCGGTGGCGCAGGCGACGGTGGCAGTGGCGGTGGGAGCGGGGGTGGCGGCGGTGGAGGAGGCGGCGGCGGAGGAGGTGGAGCTGGTCGGGGTGGTGCTACGCAGAGGGTCGGCTCCGGTGGTTGTCAGCGCCAGCAGCTGCAGCAGCAGCAGCAGCGCACTCGTGACACCCCCCCCCTCAGCGGCTCCGTGAGTGGTACGCTACACGCCAGCGGGGTGGGGGTACTCGTCCGTGCACCTACGTGTCAGATTACTATAGCTGATGCATGTTTGTAGGCTGTAGTGGGGTAGCACATAAGGGGTACAACCCAATTAGGGTTGGCACTTGTACTGTTTTCATTTCATAGTTCACCATTCCTGTTCACTTGTTTCACATGGTATAGAGCGGGTCCTTCCGAAGGACCGTTTTTTTTTAGGGCCCACCGAAGCGCGCCCCGAGGCGCGCATTCTTTTAGCGACCCCTCGGGTCGCCATTTCCCTCGCGGCCCCGCTGTCCCTCAGACGCGGCCCCGCCACCCCCTCCTGATCGCGGCCCCGCCGCCTCCTTGACGCGGCCCCCGCCGCCTACACTGACGCGGGCCCCGACGCCGGCTCTGACGCGGCCCCGCCGCCCGCTGCGTCGCGGCCCGCCGCCGGCCCTGACGTGGCCCCGCTGTCCGCTCTGACGCGGCCCCCGCCGCCTACACTGACGCGGCCCCGCCGCCGGCTCTGACGCGGGCCCCCGCCGCCCACTACGTCGCGGCCCGCCGCCGGCCCTGACGCGGCCCCGCCGCCCACTACGTCGCGGCCCCGCCGCCGGCCCTGACGCGGCCTCGCTGTCGGCTCTGACGCGGCCCCGCCGCCGGCTCTTAGCCGGCCTCGCCGTCGGCTCTAACCCGGCCCCGCCGCCCGCCCACGACGAGGCCCCGCCGCCGGCTCTGACGCGGCCCCCGCCGCCGACCCTGACGCGGCCCCGCCCCGGCTCTCACGCGGCCCCGCCGCCGGCTCTCTCGCGGCCCCGCCCCGGCTCTCACACGGCCCCCGCCGCGGCTCTCACGCGGCCCCGCCCCGGCTCTCTCGCGGCCCCGCCACCCTACCTGCAGCAGCCGAGCCGCCCACCTGCAGCAGCCGAGCAGCAGTGCATCCGGGCCGCCCCGCCGCCGAACCGCCCTGGAACCGAGCCGCCCTGCACCCGAGCCGCCCTGCCGCCGAGCCGCCCGGGCGCCGAGCCGCCCTGCTCCCGAGCTGCCCTGCCGCCGAGCCGCCCAGCAGCCGACTCGCTGAGTCGCCGAGCCGCCCTTCTGCACAGTTGCCCGACCTGCCCTGCCTGGTGAGCACAGTCGCACTATCACTGCGTGCTCTTCCCCTACTGCTTGCACTGCTTCGCTGTCGTCGTCATGGCTACCCCTAGTGTCCTAGCTTTTGACGCTGAGGGTCGCGCTATTGACTTTGAGGTCTGGGTGGACGACCTGCAGTTGTTTTTACAGTGCCATAGGGCAGACGGCCTCTCTCTCTTTGACCTTACCTCTGGCGCCTCTCCTGCTCCTGCTGCTGATGCTGATCCCACTGTTCGCTCTCAGTGGGCCACCCGCGATGCTGCTGCACGTCTTGCTGTGCGTCGCCACCCTCCCTACCTCTGAGCGCGCGCACTTTAGTCAGTACAAGAGTGCTCAGACCTTGTACGACGCTGTAGTTGCGCGCTACTCCTCCCCTGCCACTGCTGCACTGAGCCGTCTCATGCTTCCCTACCTCTTTCCTGACCTCTCTGCCTTTCCCACTGTCGCTGACCTCATTACGCACCTCCGCACTAGTGACACTTGCTACCGCGCCGCCCTTCCTGCTGAGTTCTGCGCTAAGAACCCCCCCCCCCATGTACATCACTCTCTACTACGTAGTCGCGCGCCTCCCTGACTCCCTTCGCGTAGTCAGGGACCACTTTCTCGCAGTCTGTCCCACCACCCTCACCGTCGACGTCCTCGAGAAGGCCCTCCTCGCAGCGGAGAAGAGCATAGTCGCTGTAGGAGCTTCTCGTGGTGACCCTCGCACCCCCATCTTTGAGGGGTGCTCTCCTTCCCCCTTGCTGCCCTCTGTTGCCTCTGCTGCTGCTGCCGACCTGCTTGGTCTTGAGTCGGTTGGCGCGGCGTCTGCCCCTACTGGGAGACGTCGCCCTGGCAGGGGCAAGGGGGGCAAGGGCGCGGGTGGAGCTGGAGGGAGCGGTGGCGGTGGCGGCGGAGGCGGCGGAGGGAGTGGGGGTGGCGGCGGGAGTGGTGGCGGGGGGTGGTGGTGGTGGTGGCAGCAGCGGCGGAGGCGGCGGTGGTGGTGGCAGCGGTGGTAGTGGTGGCAGCGGCGGAGGTGGAGGCGGCGGAGGAGGCAGCGGAGGAGGCGGTGGTGGTGGAGGGGGTGGAGCTGGTCGGGGTGGTACCCAGCAGCGGAGCGGCGGTGGTGGTGGCCAGCGCTCGCAGCAGCAGCAGCAGCAGCGTTCGCGGGACATCCCTCCGCCTCAGCAGCTTCGTGAGTGGTACACTCAGCGTCAAAGGGGTGGGGGTACTGGTCCGTGCACCTACATCCTTCGTTCCGGCGACCGCGCGGGTGAGCAGTGTGGGGGTGCCCACCCCACCCAGCGTTGCTTTGGCCGCCTGACGGACGCTTGGCGTCAGCAGTTCCCCGGGGCTAGTGAGATCCCTCGCTGGGATGAG